AATTTAAAAAATACTTACAAGTAGAAATGGGCTCAAGCCACAAAATTTGGATCCAGAATCAGAACCAAACTTTCTCAAAGTTTCAGGATTTTGGGATCCATGGTTTTAGTTTGGGCCCATCTGTACTTGTAAATATACTTAATACTTATATTTTACTTCAGGGCTACATTGCAAACCTTACATTTGGTGACTGTATATCTTTTTGGCTGTCTCCATGTACATACAGGAGAACACCATATAATATCTTTAAATTCCAATTTCTTTGCTCTTCTTTCTGTCCAATCAGCTCTCTTCCTCTTCTAGCTGCTAACTCCCTTTTTCTGTGTCAATATTCCCCTGAGAACCAAATCAATCGTATTATAGTTTATCTGTACTTCATGAGTCTGTTATTAATCATATGAACTCCCTTTACCATGGTGTTTCTTTTATTTCCATACTTTTCTCCAATTGCTTTTTCAGCCTTTTATTACTGCTTGTAAATATTGGTAAAATTCCTCCTCTCTGTGCTATGAGGTAAGGGGTGAGAAAAGCTGCAGGTCAGGTTTGGAGGAATGGAAGAAGGGATGCCAGCTCCACAGCGTTCCCTCCGGACCCTCACTGACCTAGCAGAAGCATCTTTATGTACATTTATCAGTGCACTGCAAGTGGGACTTGATAGGCAGGGGTGGAAGAGACTAGAGGCAATATCCAGCATTATTCTGACTGAACTTTGAAGGTATGCCCCATACACACTTACTACTGATCTTTTCACATTAATTTACACCAGTTCCCCCATGAGATGTGCAACAAGGGAAGCAGCAGTCAGGGACACCATGAAAGCACAGTTGTTGGGAGCAGGCAGTGTGGAAGTACAGGGCTTCCACAAAGATAGCCGTGGCCACTGGTGGACTCCTGAGCTCTGTCGGTTTCAGGGACATATCTTACCTTCCCATATGGCAGAGGGAGAAGACACTCTTCCTTTGAGGTAACTATAAGTCAGATCCTCTGAAACTAAACTGTTGAGATTTTCTTGTCACATACATGAAAATAACCACATGGAGGACAATTTGGCCCTCTATGATTAAGGTATCTTATCTTCAGTTTATGCTCCACATCTCCAGCTGTATATTATATATCCAATCATTTGTACTGAATTAATGACGTGCTGCAACACTACACTATACATTGTTGTTTAGAACGTATAGATTCTTGCTTATATACTGCAAATTGAGACATTTAATTTCAGAGTAGGGTTTTTCATTGTATGCAGTGGACCTCCCTTTCATGTTATTATTGACAATATGTGAATTGCTTTCTTCTTTTTCTAGACTTGTGCCCATTGATAAATGTAACTGCGTGGCTGGCGAAGCAGGGGGCTGGAGTACATTCATGAGCAGAAGGCAATGTATAAAGAACCTTTCCTGTAGAACCTTTTCTGCCCACCCAAGTCAGAAGAGAGCTTTCAGAAGCCATCACTTTATGAGTGTTCACAGATGAAAACTGATTAGTTTGTATTTGCACACTTGAATCTAGATGGAATGAATTCCACCATTTCTGACTACAACTTTTCATGGCTAAATGGATGGGATTCTGCCTCTAAAAAAAATTGGGGCCTGATTTTATTAGTAGTACTGACAGCAAACATTTATATTATAATAGCACCTATAAGCCCCTATCAAGATTGGAGCCCCATTGTGCTAGGTGATGCATAAATACAGAAATGAGACAATCCCTGTCCCAAAGGCTATGCACCCTGAAAGACACAAAATAGATGAGGGGATGGGGATATAAGACACAAGAAATTGAATATAGTGAAAAGCTGCATCTGCTTGGGTAGTTCCATATTTTATTTTCATTTGACACATGCTGAACTCCTATTGGTTTCAGCAAGGAGTTCTGCATATAGAAGGCTTGCGGCACTGAGCACTAAATTTGTGTGTATATGGAACTTTCCCCATTTGGCAGAAAAAAATAAATAGTCAATATTTTGTCATGTTTAGCTTTTCCAGACTGTGTAAGGAGAGATGCCACTGACCAAAGAAGGGGCCTGATCTCACAAGTTGTTGAGCACTTCCTGTGGTATCAGGACATCCTTAATTGTGCTGGGCTCAGCTGCTAGTCCCTACTGGATTTGGGAGGACGGGACTTCCTCTTCCTCTGCACGGCATCCAGGGCTGGGTCAGACCCACCCCTAGATTCCCCTCCCCCGCCCCCACTGCAGGAAGCTCTGCAAGCTCCCCCTCCTGCCTGCTTCCTGCACCCATTGTTCCTCAGCTGCAGGGAGCTGCTCTCCCATCCACCCAACCCTGATGCATCCAGATCCCCTCTCATACCCAGACCCTCCCATTGAAACTCACCCCTCAGACTCAGAACCTACCGGATGAGCCTCACTCACCCTGGATCACCCAGACAAGCCACCCACACCTGGATCCCCACCCCACCAAGTCCCAACTAACTGCAGCTGGATCCTCACCCCACTGAGTCCCACTCCCCCAGCATCTGGATCCCCCACTGAATGCCCAACACCCAGGGCCCCCTGCCAAGCTCTATCTTCCCCCACCTAGACCCCCCACCTAGACCCCCACTTAGCCCCAACTACCTTCACCTGGACCCCCCTGCAGAGTCCCATTACTGTTGCACCCAGAACCCCCCAACAAGCCCCTATGCATCCAGATCCGCCCCCATACCTGGATCCCCCACTGACCCACCCACATCCAGATTGCCCCCACACAGAACCCTCTCAACCCACACCTGGATCCCCCCCCACACTAAGCTCCTCCACATTTGGACCCTGCCATGCTGAGCCTGCCTGCCCATACCTGGTGCACCTGGCATGGAGGGGCAGGGCCATGGGGAGTTTCTGGGGCAGGCCCGGTCTTTGCTTTGTGTCAGGGTTGGGTGCGGCCTCACTGCTGAGTCCATGTCCCGAGCTGGAGGAGCTGCAAAGTGATCTCCTACCTCCATGCAGCCAGTGGCCTCTGCTCCCCGATGCCATGCTGGAGCCTCCACATTTATTTGACAAATAAATTTTGCAGAATTTTAAAATAAGGTGCACAGAGTTTTTAATTTGTGATGCAGAATGCCCTCAGGAGTAATTGTTATAGATGCTTTGAAGGCACTGGATTGAGAAAGGAGTAGCACACAGCTGCACTATCACAGGAGAACCATTGGGCAGGCACAGTGCCTACAATTCTCCCAGAGCACCTCTATACCACTAGGATGGGGCAGTGTATTATTGAATCATTCCTTTACAAGACGGAACATTCTTCCCCTTCTTGCCCAGCCAGCACCACCCTTGTGGGAGAATCATCTCAGTTTCAGACCCGAGCTCCTCTCCAACGGCATAAGATCCAGATAGATCTCATGCTCACATGCAGAAGAGTGCATTACTCCACTCACAGTTGCCTACTAAGGCACAATATAGCCCCATCATAGGAGTCACAGATGATATTTGCCTTTACTATCTCTCAAACATTTGTTTAACGGCTGTGTTTGCTTTGCTTAATTGGATAAGTAACGTGCAAATCCAATGTGCTACCTTAAAATGAGCAAAACTGGAGAAATCATGGAAGGGCCTCAAGAAAAAACAAAACAAAAGGAATTATTTTTAGAACACTGCAGAATGGTTTATAAGAACTGCATACAGCTTCTTTTAGTAAATGTAGTAATAAAGGTTCATTGATTAAAAGAAATTGGCTCTATTGCTCATAATAGCATCTCATTGATTGAAAAGCATTGCCTATAATGGTTTCCTTCAAAGCACCATCTGTTATGTATTAACCTTTCAGCCTTCAGAATCATGGGATATGAATTTCTTGCTCAAACTACTGGTCAGATGACCCATCCATGACATTTAATAAATTGCACCTACTGCACATAGATTCAGGATTTCATAAAAACAGGGAGAAACGCATTATGAAAACGGCAGATTTTTCATGACGTATGGTAGAATTGAATCCTTTATGTTAAAATACAAAATCAGCAAGACCAGGGGCGAAGTTCAGTCTCATTAAAGGTACCAATCAAATATTAATCAGCCAGACTTTAATGGCAAATAGTGATGCAGTGATTCAGCTTTGAATCTAGCATGTCTAGTCTTTCAGGCAAAAATAGATAAACACAAGACGATTTCTAATTTCATCTTTGTACAATTTAGAATGGTTCATACATCTACTAAGATATATATTCATCTATTTAAGTTCATACACACAAGCTCATCTTTCACAGAACATTTTTCCAGTTTTTAAAATTCTGAGGAATTACAGTGGCTTATTAATTATTGTTATTAGGGGACCAACATGTTGGTAATAAAATCAGAGTTTCGGTCATATCACTGTAAATGATTGTCCGGTCTGTTTTCTTGCAAAAATAATTTTTACCTTTTCTCTTTTCATTCTTTATAAAAATTCCTTGTTCATTTTAGATTTGCCTCTAATCTAGTTTAAGTATAATTGAAATGAGGGAGGGACTTTTAAAGTTAAAAGCCAGTTTGTTTTCTTCTTTAATAAGTCATGGTTCAAAAAGAATTAACTGCCTTTCCTCTTGAATATTTATGGTATGAACAACAATGTTTTAACCCTTGAAGAAGCACATCTTTGTCACTATACACTAGATTAACTAATATTCAAATCTTGACCGGAGAATTAATGAACCTATAATTAAAAATAAAATGGATTTCAAAAAGTCCTAAGAGGTTTGCTGGGGATTCCAATTCAATTCATCTTAGTCAGGTCTTAGCGGCTTCTTGCATTAATAGAGTCAGACTGTATCCAGATAGGTTTTAATTAGTTCACAGAGTTAGTGATTGCTGCTGCTCATAATGGGGATATAAGTGGTGCAGGAAAAAAAACCTCTCAGATAATCAAACATTGTACATTTAATAGAGGAATCTGCTGAAGTGCTAGCATAGTGGCTCACGCTGAACAAGGTGGGGAAGGAGAGAAACAGAATGAGGAAGAAAAGAGACATACATAAAGAGAAAGACTGAGAAAGAAAGAGAGCTAGGATGGCTCACACTCAACAAGGTGGGCAGGGAGAAAAGCAGGAACAAGGAAGAAAAGAGACATATGTAAAGAGAAAGACCTAGCCCTGGTCTACACTAGGACTTTAGGTCAAATTTAGCAGCGTTAAATCGATGTAAACCTGCATCCGTCCACACAATGAAGCCCTTTATTTCGACTTAAAGGGCTCTTAAAATCGATTTCCTTACTCCACCCCTGACAAGTGGATTAGCGCTTAAATCGACATTGCCGGCTCGAATTTGGGGTACTGTGGACACAATTCGATGGTATTGGCCTCCGGGAGCTATCCCAGAGTGCTCCATTGTGACCGCTCTGGACAGCACTCTCAACTCAGATGCACTGGCCAGGTAGACAGGAAAAGAACCACGAACTTTTAAATCTCATTTTCTGTTTGGCCAGCGTGGCAAGCTGCAGGTGACCATGCAGAGCTCATCAGCACAGGTGACCATGATGGAGTCCCAGAATCGCAAAAGAGCTCCAGCATGGACCGAACGGCAGGTACGGGATCTGATCGCTGTTTGGGGAGAGGAATCCGTGCTATCAGAACTCCGTTCCAGATTTCAAAATGCCAAAACCTTTGTCAAAATCTCCCAGGGCATGAAGGACAGAGGCCATAACAGGGGCCCAAAGCAGTGCCGCGTGAAACTGAAGGAGCTGAGGCAAGCCTACCAGAAAACCAGAGAGGCGAACGGCCGCTCCGGGTCAGAGCCCCAAACATGCCGCTTCTATGATGAGCTGCATGCCATTTTAGGGGGTTCAGCCACCACTACCCCAGCCGTGTTGTTTGACTCCTTCAATGGAGATGGAGGCAATACGGAAGCAGGTTTTGGGGACGAAGAAGATGATAATGATGATGAGGTTGTAGATAGCTCACAGCAAGCAAGCGGAGAAACCAGTTTTCCTGACAGCCAGGAACTGTTTCTCACCCTGGACCTGGAGCCAGTACCCCCCGAACCCACCCAAGGCTGCCTCCTGGACCCAGCAGGCGGAGAAGGGACCTCTGGTGAGTGTACCTTTTAAAATACTATACATGGTTTAAAAGCAAGCATGTGAAAGGATTACTTTGCCCTGGCATTTGCGGTTCTCCAGGATGTAGTCCTAAAGCCTTTGCAAAAGGTTTCTGGGGAGGGCAGCCTTATTGCGTCCTTCATGGTAGGACACTTTACCACTCCAGGCCAGTAACACGTACTCGGGAATCATTGTAGAACAAAGCATTGCAGTGTATGTTTGCTGGCATTCAAACAACATCCGTTCTTTATCTCTCTGTGTTATCCTCAGGAGAGAAGATATAATTCATGGTCACCTGGTTGAAATAGAGTGCTTTTCTTCAGGGGACACTCAGAGGAGCCCATTCCTGCTGGGCTGTTTGCCTGTGGCTAAACAGAAATGTTCCCCGCTGTTAGCCACAGGGAGGGGGGAAGGTTGAGGGGGTAGCCACGCGGTGGGGGGAGGCAAAATGCGACCTTGTAACGAAAGCACATGTGCTATGTATGTAATGTTAACAGCAAGGTTTACCCTGAAAGAGTGTAGCGACTGTTTTATAAAATGTGTCTTTTTAAATACCGCTGTCCCTTTTTTTTTCTCCACCAGCTGCATGTGTTTCAATGATCACAGGATCTTCTCCTTCCCAGAGGCTAGTGAAGCTTAGAAAGAAAAAAAAACGCACTCGCGATGAAATGTTCTCCGAGCTCATGCTGTCCTCCCACACTGACAGAGCACAGATGAATGCGTGGAGGCAAATAATATCAGAGTGCAGGAAAGCACAAAATGACCGGGAGGAGAGGTGGCGGGCTGAAGAGAGTAAGTGGCGGGCTGAAGAGAGTAAGTGGCGGGCTGAAGACAGGGCTGAAGCTCAAATGTGGCGGCAGTGTGATGAAAGGAGGCAGGATTCAATGCTGAGGCTGCTGGAGGACCAAACCAGTATGCTCCAGTGTATGGTTGAGCTGCAGCAAAGGCAGCTGGAGCACAGACTGCCATTGCAGACCCTCTGTAACCAACCGCCCTCCTCCCCAAGTTCCATAGCCTCCACACCCAGACGCCCAAGAATGTGGTGGGGGGCCTCCGGCCAACCAGCCACTCCGCCACAGAGGATTGCCCAAAAAAAAGAAGGCTGTCATTCAATAAATTTTAAAGTTGTAAACTTTTAAAGTGCTTTCCTTCCCTCCTCCACCACCCCTCCTGCGCTACCTTGGTAGTCATCCCCCTATTTGTGTGATGAATGAATAAAGAATGCATGAATGTGAAGCAACAATGACTTTATTGCCTCTACAAGCAGTGACTGAAGGGAGGAGGGGCGGGTGGTTAGCTTACAGGGAAGTAGAGTGAACCAAGGGGCGGGGGGTTTTATCAAGGAGAAACAAACAGAACTTTAACACCGTAGCCTGGCCAGTCATGAAACTGGTTTTCAAAGCTTCTCTGATGCGTACCGCGCCCTCCTGTGCTCTTCTAACCGCCCTGGTGTCTGGCTGCGCGTAACCAGCAGCCAGGCGATTTGCCTCAACCTCCCACCCCGCCATAAACGTCTCCCCCTTACTCTCACAGATATTGTGGAGCACACAGCAAGCAGTAATAACAGTGGGAATATTGGTTTCGCTGAGGTCTAAGCGAGTCAGTAAACTGCGCCAGCGCGCCTTTAAATGTCCAAATGCACATTCTACCACCATTCTGCACTTGCTCAGCCTGTAGTTGAACAGCTCCTGACTACTGTCCAGGCTGCCTGTGTACGTCTTCATGAGCCATGGCATTAAGGGGTAGGCTGGGTCCCCAAGGATACATATAGGCATTTCAACATCCCCAACAGTTATTTTCTGGTCTGGGAATAAAGTCCCTTCCTGCAGCTTTTGAAACAGACCAGAGTTCCTGAAGATGCGAGCGTCCTGTACCTTTCCCGGCCATCCCACGTTGATGTTGGTGAAACGTCCCTTGTGATCCACCAGAGCTTGCAGCACTATCGAAAAGTACCCCTTGCGGTTTATGTACTCGGCGGCTTGGTGCTCCGGTGCCAAGATAGGGATATGGGTTCCGTCTATAGCCCCACCACAGTTAGGGAATCCCATTGCAGCAAAGCCATCCACTATGACCTGCACATTTCCCAGGGTCACTACCCTTGATATCAGCAGATCTTTGATTGCGTGGGCTACTTGCATCACAGCAGCCCCCACAGTAGACTTGCCCACTCCAAATTGATTCCCAACTGACCGGTAGCTGTCTGGCGTTGCAAGCTTCCACAGGGCTATCGCCACTCGCTTCTCAACTGTGAGGGCTGCTCTCATCTTGGTATTCATGCGCCTCAGGGCAGGGGAAAGCAAGTCACAAAGTTCCATGAAAGTGCCCTTATGCATGCGAAAGTTTCGCAGCCACTGGGAATCGTCCCAGACCTGCAACACTATGCGGTCCCACCAGTCTGTGCTTGTTTCCCGAGCCCAGAATCGGCGTTCCACAGCATGAACCTGCCCCATTAGCACCATGATGCATGCATTGGCAAGGCCCATGCTTTCAGAGAAATCTGTGTCCATGTCCTGATCACTCACGTGACCGCGCTGACGTCGCCTCCTCGCCCGGTATCGCTTTGCCAGGTTCTGGTGCTGCATATACTGCTGGATAATGCGTGTGGTGTTTAATGTGCTCCTAATTGCCAAAGTGAGCTGAGCGGCCTCCATGCTTGCCTTGGTATGGCGTCCGCACAGAAAAAAGGCGCGGAACGATTGTCTGCCATTGCTCTGACGCAGGGAGGGGCGACTGACGACACGGCTTACAGGGTTGGCTTCAGGGAGCTAAAATCAACAAAGGGGGTGTCTTTACATCAAGGAGTATTTCAGGCAGGACTTCACGGAGGGTTCCAATAAGAAATGGTGCACCTAAGTTATTGTTCTTATTGGAACAAGGAGGTTAGCCTGGCCTCTGATTGATACATGGCTAGATTTACCTCGCTGCACCTTCTCTGTGAGTGACTGCAGTGTGACCTAGAGGAATGAGTCCCCTAGACAGGGGAGGAGGCAAATGAGTACAAAACAAATCTGGTCTATTTCTTGTTTTGATCCACTCCATCTATCTTTTACATCTTTGGCTGGCAGCAGACGGTGCAGAAGGACTGCATGCCATCCACATCTCATGGCTGCTCGGCAGAAGATGGTACAGTACGACTGCTAGCCATCCTCATCTCTTGCCTGCCTGGCAGAAGATGGTACAGTACGACTGCTAGCAATCCGTATCGCCTGCCTGCTCACCATAAGACGGTTCAATAGGACTGACTGCAGGACTAAAGAGAATGACCTGGTCAAGTCACTCTAAATTAAGTCCCTGCGCCCATGTCTGTCCAGGCGCTCCCAGCCGACGTGGCCAGGAGCACCTCGGACATGACGATGACGGCTACCAGTCGTACTGTACCGTCTGCTGCCACAAGGCAAGGGGTTGCTGCTACTGTGTAGCAAAGCCGTACCGCGTCTGCCAGCACCCAGGAGACATACGGTGACGGTTACCTGAGCGGGCTCCATGCTTGCCGTGGTAAGGCGTCTGCACAGGTCACTCAGGAAAAAAGGCGCAAAACGATTGTCTGCCCTTGCTTTCATGGAGGGAGGGAGGGAACGGGGGCCTGACGATATGTACCCAGAACCACCTGCGACAATCTTTTTGGCCCCATCAGGCATTGGGATCTCAACCCAGAATTCCAATGGGCAGCGGAGACTGCGGGAACTGTGGGATAGCTATCCACAGTGCAACGCTCCGGAAGTCGACTCTAGCCTCGGTACTGTGGAAGCACTCCGCCGAGTTAATGCACTTAATGCACTTAGAGCATTTTCTGTGGGGACACACACACTCGAATATATAAAACCGATTTCTAAAAAAACGACTTCTATAAGTTCGACCTTATTCCGTCGTGTAGACATACCCCTAGAAAGAAAAGGGGAGCAGAGATGGATGAATAGAAAACAGTAAGAGGAGAAAAAATAATGAAGGATATACAGTATTAGCAAGGAGGGTCAGTAAAGCCCCTTGTAAAGTCGATTATCTCTGTGCAAAACTTAAATATCTTACAGGTTGCATAGGAGTGACTAATATTCTGCACTGAAAATCACTGTGTGGCTTCCAATCAGAGATTAAGGAGTCTGATTACGCAAATGGACTGTAGGGCTGGAATGCTCAGTTCCACTCACCTGTTTTTAACTGGGAGAGATCTTTAAAAAGCTCAGCTCCAGCAGTAGAGGCTCGATTTTCAAAAGAGCTCAGTTTCCATTTAACCAATGAGAGCACTGGGGGCTGAGAAGCTTTGGAAATCTGGCCACTACACGGAGGTGCCTAACTACAAAAGATTTTTTTTCCTCCTGCTGATAATAGCTCATCTTAACTAATTAGCCTCTTAAAGTTGGTGTGGCAACTTCCACTTTTTCATGTTCTCTATATGTATATATATATCTTCTTACTATATGTTCCATTCTGTGCATCTGAAGAAGTGGGCTGTAGCCCATGAAAGCTTATGGTCAAATAAATTTGTTAGTCTCTAAGGTGCCACAAGTACTCCTGTACTTTAAATGGGAGCTGATGTCTTTTGGCAATTTAGTTGAGGGTCTAAATGTGAGTTGCTGAACTCTTTTTGAATTCTGACCCACTGGGCCCAAATAAGCACTTAGTAGCCACATGGAAGGCAGCGAGACTGCTTGTGTGAGTACAGCAGTACTTGCCATAAGTGCGGATGGCAGAAGGGGGTTCAAGGAAGTTACCCAGGTCTTACCTATGAGATCAATTTATTACAATCCCCTTTTCCTTCAGAAAAAGCATGACTAAGCTGAACAGTGCTTAATTTGTAATGAAAGAAGTGCCAGGGCTCAAGCAATTTTTATACTTTCATACCTGACACGGTATGTCTCAGAGGTACTGGGGCTATGAACTGCCAAGCCTAGAAGTGCCGGGGCTCATCCCTGGCAAGCCCTGGCACAAATTAAACCCTGGGGTTGAAAGACTGCTGTATACAGCAGCGTTATGAGAGTTTGTCCTTGGTTTTTTAGCACACCCTTAACAGTAACCACCTTTATTACATTTCCTGCATCAGACCCCAGTATACTTCAGCGTACATCCCGAACAGCTGATTGGGGATCAGACTGGGATCCTTATTAATTGGGCTAATAAATAGCACAGTGAGAGCAGCTGGAGAGCATGACTAATACTGCTCCAGCATGGAAATCTGTTATTCAGATTGACTGCACATCATCAAAATGGAACTGCAAAGCTCTTTTAAACCATTCAAGACGCAATGTTAGCACTGGGCTCTCACATGAGGAGTAGCCTATGATAATTGGGCTGTAAGTCAAGCTTCACTGGGTCAGGGAGGATCATCCCAGCACAAAGGTGATACTGTGACAGTGTAGACCCAGCAAGGAGATTTATAATCCACATGCCTCCCAGCTGCCAGCTTCACAAAATGAAAGAGGTGGAGCTACAGAAGGAAGCATGGCCAGGACCCTTAAGAGTGTTTTCAACTCCCTGTGGCTGTGTAGGACAGAACAGATATCAGGGTTCTCATTTGCACAGAAGCACCAGGTTCAAGGGGATTTTTAAGCTACCTTTGCACCACACTCTGTGACTTGTGTTCTATGTATTTTGGCTGCATCTAAAGATCTCACCCACAGACTTAAAAATGAGAAAGAATATTTCAACATGGCATTTGGTCAGCATTTCTTTCTCTGTTATGGCAAATGCTAAGTCCTGAAGATTTATGTTTTATTTCCAACAGTCGGTGCTAGCTGAACAACGCAGGACGCTCTTTCCTGCCTGCCTTGCATTTGCTTAAAGACATTTATGACATTTTCATGGGAAAATATAGAAACTTTTGAAAGCAGTTCCTGGCACATAAGTAAAGAAAAAAACTGGTTTTCAAATACCAAATGTAAAATATTTACACTGTTACAAACCCAACAGTTTAGAATATGGACTGCAGGTAAATCTCACTTGTGCAGGAGACAGAACTTCCCCTGGGATAAAAGGCTACATTTCTAGATCTCTGTGCTGTTTCACTCTCCAGTGCAGAAACATCAGAATAAGAGCTGTGTTGGCAATGAAAAAGGGAATGGCAATTATTCTCTGGAAGCTTGCAGTGCCAGATTGCTATCAGTCAGTGGGCAATCAGTTTGGAATTGGGAATCTGCAGTGAGGGCTGTTGTCATCCAAATGTGCAAGGC